ATCTTTTTTTYTTGGTGGAAAACAGTTAASAAAGGAAGTCRAACAGTATTGTAATCCCCAAATACTCGAGGGATTTCCTTCACTATCTTAAGTCGGTACTTTAACATTATTTTGATAACCATCTAATTCCAGCGTCACCCATGATGTCATGAAGTTTTTACTATGAAAGCACTGTCATGCGTAGTATATCAGTAGAACCGGCATTGACCACACCCTWCGCCTATGAGAACTCTCGCATTCTCTTTATAAAATATCAATTCAAAAATGAGCAGACTGTATAAACTCCAAGTTACAGTCAGATTTATTTTTAGTTTATAGCAATCATAGACCCTGCGTGACTCTATCCTGGTACGTGATAAATCATCAAATAAAACAAATAAAATCTATACCAATTTTTAGAGTGATAAAATAAGAATCTTGTTAGGTTTGCTTTGTTTTGGTCAGCTGCTTGGGTRACTGCTGTGAAATGCCGAAAACAACCATTGCCGATCTCTCGTGKCATGAAAATTTGTAAAAAGGTTGGGTTATATGTTGCTTACAGACAAATTAAATATAAAGAACCTTTTCTACGGACTATTCTCTTCACCATATATCTGATATGCCATCTTAAGCGTCATCTCTTCGCTCATGTAAAGTTGATTAAAATACTTCACATGGTTAGGATTTTGGGGTTTTAGTTTACTTGTTCCGAGTCACGTACGAATGGATGCAATACTTTCAGAGAAACAAGCCTGTAGGCCAATCTCAGCATGGTGGATGTGAATTACAGTTTCCATGGTATCGAGTGACTTCAGGCAAATAAATGAATGGAAGGATGAATGGATGAATATAAAATAGGATGGATGTGAAAAAATGAATSGAAATATGGATGAATAAGGAATCAATCATCTCAAGTATTGCAGCCATTCAGTAAGTTTCATCTCTTTCTTCACTAGATATATGAGTCCACTTCGTGCCTTTCGCTGGCTTTTAGTTGGTATTCTGATATCCATGCCCTGGTCATGGTTTTACTCTTGTCAAAGTCTAGGAATGAGTCGTCTGGAGTCTTCCATGGTAACCMTTTGTCTTTTCTCATTACGTAGCTGGGTTGATTTTGGTCTTGAATTGAGTGCATTTCATGTTTATGGTTTATATGCACAAGTTTATGGAATGTTTATGCTGCCTTTAGCAGGTTAGTACAACTTATTGTCAGAACTTAGCTTGGGCAATAGCAGTGATAAGTCTTTACATCGTAATATTGTGAAAATACAATCCTATGARGAGTTTTCCTAATTTCTAACAATGTTTTTGATTCAGTTAGTTCATCTTACAAGTACATTCTCTACACCGAAGGATCACRAGATGTTGCCTCAGTGATTGTTGCCCTCAATCTTCTGTGCCATTCTATTTTTGGTATTTATGTCATAGTATTCACCATTACAATGTTGACGTCAGTCACACTAGTTCAAGTGTTCTTGGAAAGGAGAATCAATGGTCTCATTGCCATATACACTCGTGCCCTAGAGATTCATGGTATATCATGGGTTATCAGTGCTTGGTGGCTTTTTCCCACATTGTCCTACTACCAATATATAGGGGGAGTTCCTTGGAAGTATGATGTCACAAATCCACTTCCTTTTGATCTTGTGTTACGTAAATTCCTGGCTGGAGAGATGTACGATTTTCAACGAGGAGTTCCATATACCACTCTTGCAACACTTGTTGGGATTTTTTGCATYTGTGTTGGACATCAATCAATGTATTTCATGCATCACTTTGGAGAGAAAAACTTTCCCAAATCAAACGATAAGCTACATACATCTCACCTTGAGGAAAAATCAATTGTCAAGCCACTGCTTGGCGCACTCCATCACTCAGAAAAAAACAATGTAGTTCGAAGAAGACAGGTTTTTCATACATGGTTGATGCTCTCATTYACAGCTTGTTTTGTTTTGTTTCTTGGCAGAGGAACTCTTGGCTTGGTGTATGAGTTAATACCTTTCCATGCTGAGATGGAATCACTTCGGTATATAAACACTTTACATTTTCTTGGTTTACTTTTGTTTGGTATTGGGACTTCTTTTGTACTGGCTAACACCTGTAGGTTACTATCACAAGTATCTGGTATTACTGTCAATCATCTGGTTGTCTTAGTGATGTTGGTAGGGGCACCTATTTACCTTAGCAACCAGTCACAACGAATAGYCAATCATCTAAGTGTTTCTGAGATCAACAACCAATTAGCAAATAGAATACAGTTATTGAGGGGACRCCCAATAATTGGACGTCTCTATGGTAACAAGGAATTTGGTAGGTACAGTGTTGTCATGGAATCATTATTCATCTGTCTAAATATGTTTTGATTTCTTTTAACTTTTCTTAAAATGTGATTATTAACCATATGATGAATAATGATAATTATGATTCTTAATTTAAAAACTTTGGATTTCTTCTCATTTTGGAGACATTTCATGGACTACAGAATTAATGTTTAGTATTCTTCAAGGTATTCTGTTCTTCTGTTTTTCTGTGTTACAAATTTATACAGATGGAGTGTGATTGAATAAATGACTGAATATTTTAGAAATTAACTCTAAAAAAATCGATACAGAGAATGATTGATAGTTAAATTTTATTTACAATAACTCTGTTCAGCTTTAAAATCAACTGAACGCTAATCCAYATTTCACTGTTAATTATACTAAGATGAAAATGCCTTCCTTGCATATATTTAATCTTTTTACTTCGATGATATTTAACTATATTCATTCAACATAATTACATATTATATCAATATAAATACTGAGGGAAATTATAATGGTTTTTAAATGTTTTACATCAATGAAATTGTTTTCTAAATAAAATGATACAACTATTTTTTATCTAAAACCCTTTTAAAGGAGTTGATACAAGCATGACATCAAAACAATGTAAATTGTACATTTCRATAAAACATGGAACTAGGTAAAACACCTTTGATTTCTGGACAAGGCTTTGATAAATATGATATAATACACCTATTAATATATAAAAATGTTCTCTGTTTTCATTTTTGGAAATATTTCCCATTTGCAATCTTAAATACTTATTGTAATAAATATCAGTTTAAAATATTGCCTATAAATAGCTTTTGGWATACAAGCTGTTAAATTACGATTGTTGTATAGATAGAGTAGCTAGTATTCAGAAAGCCCACCAGACATTTATTTCAATAATAATTATAACTTTGTTTCATCTAAAGGAATTTCATTGCCAGTTTGCAGACATTAAAGTAATTCACATCAAAATTAGAAGATTAATTTACATGTATGTGGTATAAAATCAATAGCACTTTTGACTGTATTTTAAAACCAAGGATGTTAATAACACACAAAAACATTTTCACACAATCCCAAACAAAAGATATTTTTAGATTGTCCCAAACAATGCTGGTAAAGTTCTATGTCTCTTATTTATTGTGGGAAATAGACATATTCTTGTAACACTTCATGAATTCATGTATTTCCTTGAAATATCAAGGAATAATATTTGTMATTAGAACAATGCTATCTTTACAGGTGACCAATTTATGCAACACTATTAAACTTTCTCATTTTTGGCAAGATTGCCAACTGTCTGATAAGTAAACAATGAAAAAGGTCCAAAGTCTAAATGTAATCTGTAAATAAAACAGTGAAAACTTGAATGACTGGAATTATCTCTCAAAGAAAGAGCTTTGATGTTAATATAAATGATTTCAATAATGTTAAAAGATATGGATTTTGATAAGAATTATATATTGAGATGCATGTATAACTAAACAATAATTACAATAGCAAACCAATAAAACTTGCACATAAAGGAAGAAATCTAATCCACCTCTGAATCTGATAAGCACTAATTAATGCTTCCAAATAGACAGGTTTTTACTGTTATAAAAAATGATACTAAGTTTTACTTTAAAATGCTGTTTATCATTTTATCTCCTCATATGTCTCCTCCTTGTGCCCAACCTTTGAATTAAAACATACATTTACCCGCGGAAAAAAGCTACATAATCTGCCATGGAACTTTCTGTACATGGTTGCCATGTTACCTGTAGCAAGGAAGGGAGTGTTCTGACCATTCAGCAAACATTTCCTTCCCCATTCTTCAACAATAGAAACAACCTTCTCTTGTCCTTGTTCTCCTTTAAGTTTAAGATACAATGCTGATGTGATGGTGACGGGGATTGCTAATATTGTTGTGTATTTTTGTGTCAAGTCCATCCTTATTTCATGTTCAAAATGGTGTTCTTTAACTTGAACAGTTTCTGAACTTTTAATAAAAGTCTTGATCAAATTCAAGCCATTCTTCAACGAATCTTTTCCTTTAAAATAAATTGCTGGGTCTTCAAACGTAACGTCGTCTGCTAGAACATCAAAGGTATTTTGAGTGTACTGGAACCTGTACAAAGACAATACACTTTGAATTATCTTCTTTCGTGAGTTTACGATTTCATCCACATTGTCCACAGCGCTCTCTACTGGTGCTGACATCGGCTCTCTGATTTTCTCAGGACTTGAGAGAACGTGAAAAGCAGTGTAACTTTGGATGCCTGTGTATAAAATGCTAGCAGGACACAGCCACTCCATGTTGAACAAGAAAAAACTTGAATAGTTCGACTTGTACGGAAAATCATCCGAGCGAATCTTAATGGTTTTATAAAGCGGAAAGCTTTTCAATCTTGAGTTACACCGATCGTGATTTTTTCGATCTGTGTCTTACTTGTTTGGTAATTTGAGCGTCGTTTAGGCGTCTTGTTTATGAATACTTTAGAAGGACGCTGTAAACACTGTCAAGTCCGCCATGTTGAAAACAATCCGTAATGCATTGCAATCCACTAGACCACAGGAAGCCCAGTTGTCATGGGTTTATCAAAGGTTCATTTTAAGAATATCTATTTTGTCTTTTTTTCTTAGATACTGCTGGTCCTTGGGAACTTTCTGTCCTCCCCTATCTAACAGGAAAACCAGGTAAGGCATATTTTTCGCAAGCTCTGGGAAAGAGCGGCATTATTTGTAACCGCGCCTACATTCCCGAGCTCCCGTTATGAAAAATATAAATAACTTAGGGAAAACCCTCTAGCTCGTTTTTAATTAACCGTAAGTTCGAATTTATCTCATTAAACTTTGGCATTCTGTTCCAGTTCGTTTGTTTGTTTTTTGGGTCGCTAGTTCAATCGACAAGCGAAATTCTGAGGAGCTATACCCAGAAGCATGCATCGTCGTATAATGTTTATCAACGATTTTCATTTTACTTCTTGGGCTTCCTGTGATGAAAACATACATAGTTCTTCAAACAATAGGCCGTTAGCATTATGACGTAACTTTACTACAACTACCAGAGAGTCTTGCGCATTTTCATTGTTAATTCAGATTTTTAATTCCCTTGGAGATTAATAAAACAATTGGCACTAATTGGATTACAAAAGAAAGTTGGCAAAGCATTCTGGTAGTTGTAGTAAATGACGCCATAATGCATATTGCCTCATTATTTTGTTAACATGTTAATGTATGACGCATTTTATGAGCTAAAATGGAGTTACTGTCAGTCCTGAGGCAGTGAAGCTACTATATCCTCAAAGATAATTTTAGCTCTTCACTTATTAGAGTTCTTAGTTCTGGGAGTCGGCTACTTTTCCTGACATTTTTTTTTTTTAGGAGTACATTCGTATTCCCGTGGTTACCATGACAGCCTAACAGTCTATTACCTTGAGTCCTTTCAACCTAACCTCAGTACTACGCCTTGGTTCCCAGACCTACTCCGACTTTTCAATATCAGATATATTATCGCCAAAACCATCCCATTAGACTTTATAGAGGGCAGCAAGCTATTGACGTTACTAAMAATTGATAAAGATATAACGGTGTATATCAGGTCTTCCAGAGAAATGTATGGATATTTCGAGTTTGTGAGTGTCCCTGGGACAATTCAAGGGGATCTTAAAGGCATCAGGGATACTGTAGTTAGCATGACTCAAATCTTCCAAGTTAGAGCTCTTTTAGCAATTAATTCTTTGTCATATGAAAATGAAACGGCAAAAGTAGCTGTGACGCCCATGACCACACCCATTTCATTCTACCAACCGTTGTCAAGACTGTTACACTATTTTGGTCGTCCGGAGAGATATCTCACCACGTGGACGTTGAATGGTCGCAATGTATCAGAACATGATTTCTTAGATGGACTGATGGGAATGTATTTAGTTCGTCCAATAAAATCTGTCATACTAAAAGAGTCCATTAGACCAAACTTATACAAAGCTATTGTCAAAGTGCCTGATGAGGCATTTAGTAAGGTAGGTGGAGCAATTGAGCAGTTATTCAAGGACTAAAAGGGTGGGAAAAATATGACAGAAACAAAGAAAATGCGCGGTGAGGACTGCAGATCTTCCCGTCACCATGATGTCTGTTATTTTTCACTTTTTTGGGRCTTATCACCCTAACGCTTTTTCTTCAGGACATTTACTCTACAGAGCATCTACTTCTCAAGGTCACATATCATCCGTATTGGTCGTGTAAATATGCACCACCTACTGAGATATCAAGCAATACCGAAGAGTACACAACTGAGGAATACGATAAMTGGACCGAGGCAGAAGTACACCACGTCATTCCAAATTTAATGAGCATTACTCTTCCACCTGGACGGCACGAAGTAATATGTTTTTACTCAAACCCTTTGTATCAGAAGCTTGGGTTTCTCCTTTTCATATTTATTATTTCATTAATAATTGTAAAAGAAATAATACAAAAAGTACAAGAATTGAGTATTAATTGATGGATAAATCCCTTGTATGGCTTTTGGGGCTTTTCCAATTATTTATCATTATTTGCAGCATTACATACTTTTAAAAATGATTTACATATTATTATTTGCTTACTAATATGAGTAAACTAAAAAGGATGATTCTTGTATTTATTTAATGACGTTCGCAGGTATGTGTGTAATATTTCAAGCTCGTATCATGATTTCTTTCTTTCTTTTTTTGTTGTTGACATGATTTGCAAATATTTTCTAAGTGCAGTCCAAACCGATGGGATATTCAATTCACCTATATTGTCAGGTTGACTTGTCGACATTATATGCCGTCCAATGTTTGTTTGCAAATGAGATTTATGAATATTTAATGTTACGTAACATGTGGCTAGGTCACGCAACAAACGGAGCGAAGCTGTGTTCAAAGCTTAGCCGTTCTCTTCAGTTGTAAACCCAAAATATCATCTTTCGAAAATGGTTTTAAAAATCGTCTTCAAAAGGATCTTGCCTAGTGTGGTACTGTATTATGCTGCCGTACAATCGTACCTTGTCTACCATCTTTTGTACAGTGAAGGCAAGATACGTTTACCCAATACAACCGAGATTAAACCTCGACAACCAAGAAACACTTTGGTTGAAAACATCCTTGCCATGTACCAATGCAGAGCAGGAACTGGAAACTTTGTAACCTTTACCGACGATGTTGTATTTGACGACCCGACTATTCTGGTAATGGGAAAAAAAGATGTTATGAACATTGCTTTAATGATGAGATCATTAGCAACATCGGAAACTGTGAGCCTAAAAGAATATCATTTTGAGGATCATTTTATCCTTGATATGAGACACAAATACACATTCCTTGGAAGAGKTTTTGATGTGCCGTCGGTGTTATATGTGGATCTRGAAGGAACAGGAGATGACCAAAAAGTACGACAATTTCACGAAGAATGGTTCGGCAAGAGTCTCATCACTCCTGGAAACACAAGATTCCTTTTYACTGGAATTACCTCGCGATTTTTTAGACGCATTCATGGTAAACTGTTCAATCTTGTTACCTTTGAAGAACCCAAATAGATCAACTCGAAAAGTTCACAGACTTTTGTAAATTAAATTCTGTAAAAGTCAAAAATAATTATATGTATGATATATTAAGTTGCATTGTGTGTAATCTCTAGTAAAAATGTAGTTAAAACTCACTTTGAAGAAAAAAGGGAAACACATTTTTTCTAATATGTTATTTAGATACCAATTACCAAAATATTAGTATCATGCAAATTACTATGTATGCATATATTAATTCCTAACATTTWCAGAATTTATGAAAAAGGTTTATAGCTTGTTTTTGAGTTTCATTTCTAGATCRAATATATAATCTGCAGTATTATCATTAGCATATATATTAATATTAGAACTATTACTTCAATAATTTGTATCATTCTATTCTTCGTTTTCATGTTACGTCACAGTGGCCATCTGGAAGGAACTTTTAAGTTTGTTTAAAAACAAAGGATTTCTCATTAGTATCTATTGTTCATTCCTCCAACATGGCCGCCGCTCTTTTATCTCTTGAATCTCATGGGAATGGTTGACARCAATCAATATCAACATGATTCAATAGCTAATCAATATTGTAGAGAAGAAACTTTATCAACAAAACAAATATTACTAATTACCAAATATGCAAACATATCCTTGATAGAAAAYAGTACTACAAAATATTGTTAACTTAACTGAAAGACCTGAAATGACAGTAAAAAATAAGCYTCTAGAACCAGGGTACTCTGTACAAAAATTACATACATTGGCATATAGTTTTAGCTCATCACTTTAGGTGGAAAAAATCTTTAAAAATACAAACGTCCCTAAATTTTAATTTTTTCTGATAAAACACTCATTAGTATTCTTTATATACAGAATACTAATAAGGGTGACCTTTATCAGATATAAAGGTCCATGACCCTAGCAAGGGTCTCAGGTTTGATACCTGATCATTGACCAATGGAGCCAACAGCAGTTCTATACATAAAGCTTTGCAATATATCTATTTTAGAGTGCTTTCCATAAACATGAAACATTTTACTTGAAGATAGGTATGTACACTGTGATAAACAATTATTGTTTCATGGGTTTATGAAAACCACTCTTCAGAGAAGTTTAATCATTTGTCACTTGTTTATTTTTGACGATTGTCCCAAAAGCAATGGTACTTCTCGCTGACAAGATAGTCAAAATCCCTACATTTTCCACAAGTCTTAATTCCACAGCGAAATTCYGTGGCTTTACCATCTTGTTCACCTYGACAGTACTTCAAATCACAAGGATACCAACTTATGCAAACATGCATTCTACAAACACACGTTATATTGCTTTCACTAACACTATGGCATCTCTTCTTGCTTCTCATGGTGCTTGTTAAATTTTGAACAGCATTTGGAGAGGAGTTATCTGATAAATAAAATTTGTTTGGCACAGTTTGGATATTCATTCTGTTAATATTAATAACATTAGAATTTGTTTGAACACTACTAGAATACCATTACTATTTTTCAAATAAACTTTTGCAAATTCCCTAAACTTTCCAAGCGTAAAATATATTGCAAATTAAACACATTGCTTTCTAGCTGATGATGGCGCAATATATTCTCTGTGTATTTGAGAAACTGACAAATWTATATCAGTTCAAAAATTAATATCAGCATCAAAAAAGTGATGTACTTACTGTCAAACAAGAATTTGATATCATCTCCAGTAAAATGAACAACATCTAAATCTCCACATAGTTTTCTCACATTGGCATTAATATTTCTTGCCTCTGAGATAAGCAGTTTGTGATCCAGGATAATTTCCTGGGTACCAAGATCTTCCTCAGGGCTACGAATAGTGCTTGGATTTTTCTATACAATAATAAAGAAATTGTATCAAACTCAACTCCTATAATTAAGATTCAGAGCAATGCATCTTGCCAATGTTACCTGTCTCAATTTTGCAATGGCATCAGGTGATACATATTCATCATGGTTCATTCTTATAGCAATGCATGTCATTTCATATGCTCTCTCAGCAATATCCCTTTCTCCAAGAACAATTGTCTTGAATATCTGAAGTTTCTGTTCCAAATGATAGGTAAATATKAAAAATTCAATTAAAATTCCCTTACATGTAACAGTGACGTTAAGTCAYGAAAAAGGCTTGCATTGCGTCTACTCATGTATTGAGAACTATATCACAAAAAAATCGAATCAGCAGACTTTAAGCATAAACTTAAGTTGTTTATTTACATCAGTCCAGCTGCAAGAGTCATGAAATTCACTGCATAGAGTTGTAAAGATCATAAAGTAGGGAAAGTTCAGGTGTTTGCCTCCTATTTCTATTTTTTTCAGCTAACTTGGGAAAGTTGCATGTAMCTTAAATCATGCCGAACTCAGGGAAACAAACAAACCTGTTTGAAATCGAGAGAGATATCAATGAATCGTCCATCGTCTACTTTATACGATAGAAAAACCAAATCTTCTTGGGGAAACGATTTAAACTCTTGCTGAGATATATCACCATTCTTTGATTGTACGTTTACTATGAGATCTTGCGAGCCATGTCTACATAACCAACCCAAAATGGCAAATATCTTCACCAAATTGGACGCCATGTTGGACCACTAGGGTATATGGAGACTGGAAACTAGTTGATTTTCTACTTCCGATCCAAATGTCGAGTTGACTTTTTTTTAAAAAATAAAACCAAGCAAACATAAAAAATGGAAGCGATTACTGCAGTACATAGCAAACTAAAATGTCTTGACTCTTACCAAATTCTCAAGTTTCTAAAATAAAGCTAATACCGTGATCTATTTTCGGTATTCCGAACAACTATTTTTGTTGACAGACAGGTATCTATCATTTCCGGTGTAGTCTCAAACCGAGGCTATTCTGCTGTGACAATCGTTTCGCCATATTTATTTTATTTACTGGTATATTTTGTGTCATAGGGAGGCTGTCTTATCTTTTTTTCAGAATTCTAGCTTTTTTCGTATCTTGGGAGTGAACTTATAACATCGAAAATGGCAGAATCTACCAAGGATGCCGACTCCAAAGGGCACGAAAGAGAAGGTACAATTGGCGATGGCCGATCACCCACCAACTGATCCCGATCCGTCCATCGAATAGTTTTTTTCATTATTTGTKATTATCTGAATGAAAAGAAAAGATTTSTTTTTCTTCATGTTCATTTAAGTTGAATTTAGAATAATTATCTTAAATTTATATTCACTTTTTGTTGAGATCTAAGGAAAAAGTTGATATTTTCGTTGCACAATGTCGAATGATCGAGACGGGACAAAATGCTTGACCCTTGCCGGCTCCGCATGTCATTCTTGTTGTATGTATATTTTATTAGAAACATTTTTGTTATGTATAAAAAAATTCAAATTATTTGTTTTTTTGTTTTCAAACATATAAGCTACATATTTGCGTGAGGTTTTTGTGATATCATCACACGCATCGGCTACCAACATTGTTAATCTTTGTTCCCTGCACAAAGACSAGAAAGTAGAAAATCTTTCACCCATTAAGGATGCCATKTTTKGGATTTTTTGAAAAGAGATTATTCTGTGATTTGTAAACAATGAAATAGTTGAGTCGCTTAGGGAATTGTCTTCATARTCTAATGCACGGTTTTAACCATACGAACTGCCAACCAATAGAAAGAGAAGACAAAAAAGCCCTTATTGGCCAATAGTTAATCTTGTTCTACTTGTGTTTTACCCCCTCTGGGATCTGTTTGTGGTTGGACTTTTGGTTTGGGAGTCAAGTAAACAAAATGGCTAACAATTCTTACCCACAAAGACCAATATTAAGGCGACAAAGAGTACGAACTCAAAGCGTCCCTGATTAYGARTCTTGTTCTTTCCCWGCAGAAACATTGCGRAGGCATACCTTTCTGAAGCAGGAATTCCAAAACAACTCTAATGACACGAAGGATAAGAAACAYGATGTTTTCACAACTTTACAAGAGACTTTGGAACTACTTCGTGATGAAGCAGGCTCTGTTTCCAGAGATTCACAGAAAAGAGATGATGTCTGGTGTCATCCATTTGAAATMCCTGAGCACCCTATCGAGCAATTAGAAATTAAACGATCACAAATCGACCTGGAAAGACAACATTCCAAAATCATGCGTGCAGTCTCCCTTAACGATCTGGATGACAAAATGTTCAGTTCCAAGGAAGGAAGTAGGGATATAATGACACCATACCAGCGTTTAACCATTTCTGGTGGTAACACAAGTGGGGTAAGAATATTTATTGTGCTGGAATATTTTGAATTGCCACGTAAACAACAACATACACATTTCTTGATTTGTATATACACATTGTATTAACTATCTAAAATCTGATTGGTTAACTGGCTACATATAATATTCACAATCAGACTACGTACAGATTACAGAAAATAGAATATAGAATGTACTGAAAATAGTCTGTAGGCTCCGCTAGCAGTGCGTTGAGTTTTAGTAAACTCCGATCCTCTGCCCTTGACTGATTACACTTGCCTTGACCTTGATTATTTTACAAAAATCTCTACTGTAAAAATCTCTAATAACTTTGTCAATGCTCCTAATATTATGCATTTGTTTGTATAGGTTCCTTGGGATGAACTCAAACAGGCCTCAAAACTTCTTGCAGAAGCACTATTTATAAGATTCAAATACATGGTTTTGAGCATGCAGAGTTACTGTCCTGTCTTAGCAGACTCCTTGGCAGCTATTCATGAAGACTAYAGTGTAGATAAATTCCTGGCAGCTAGAAATCTGGACAAACCAAGCCCACCTCCCCATAGAGGTATCACTATCCATAAAGATCCATCCCACTACTAGTCCTTTTAATTTTTGATATACTAGACCAGTAGATAAATCCCAAGAAACTAAATTATATGCACACCAATCAGGGAAGAGTGCTTCCTCTTTAGATAGCATACATGAAGTTTATCATGATGATTGTTCTTTAACATCTTTTTGCTTTCAGATTTAGAACATTTTGACTACTCTAAAMATTGTCCCTTTGATTGTGAAGTACCTGGYGACTGTGGATATGAAGTGAAAATGGTTGAAGGAGTTATACAAGTCATTTCATGTAAAGGAGATGGGAATTCCAAAGTTTGTAAAATAGTTCATCCATTTCCTGATTTGCAAGAATTTTTTGATGACCAAAATGTTCTACTTGCTTTATCTACACATGGCCCTATGTAAGAGCACAATTTTACATTCTCTTCTTATACATTGAAGTCTGTGTTATTTTATTTGTTGTGCCTGATTTATCAAAAAGAGTCCCTGTATGAAGAATTATGATAAGAATAACAATAATTAGGAGTGTAGTGACGGTACATTGATGTTTGGATATTAGAGCTGTTGATAATTATGTTGGATATTAGAACTGTTTATGACTATTAGTATGATGCCATTTTGATGTGGTTAATTAAGCTTATGATGATGACCTTTTTAATTGGTCTTCTTTAAATATTGCAGAAAATCTTTTGCATATCGTCGTCTTAAGTATCTTGAGTCAAAGTACAGTCTTCATACACTTCTGAATGAAATGAAAGAACTTGCAGCCATGAAGGAAGTGCCACATCGTGACTTCTATAATGTCAGAAAGGTAATRATAGATTGTTCATTGCCTAAAACAGGTCAGATACATCAGTTTGACAWCTSCTGTACTGTCATTTTGGTTGTAAATTTGAAGTGATAGCAATTATTGTTCAATTGATACATTTTATCCTATAGGTAGACACTCACGTACATGCAGCATCTTGCATGAACCAGAAGCATTTGCTGAGATTTATCAAGAAAAAAATGAAAACAGAAGCAGACACACCAGTTATTAAGATTGATGGCAAAGAGGCTACATTAAGAGAGGTAACTACAGTAACAATGAAATATTTTGCTTCTGTAATTGGTACGTAATTAATTTGGAATTGTTTTTTCCTTGCCTCAACAAAAAGCAACAGGTTTATTGTTGTTGTTTTTTACGTGATGTACAGCTTGAAATAAAGTTACAGTTGCTATCATTGTTGTTGTCAAAGTAGTCAATATGGCAGTAATGAGTAACTATGGTGTGCGTAAGGGTGTGTAAGACTAATTTTCTATATGTTTTTAACTAGGTCTTTGCTATGATGAATTTAACACCTTATGATTTGAGTGTGGATACCCTTGATGTCCATGCAGTAAGTTATTCATCAGTACTCATATAGATAAGAATAAATAGTCTTATTTTGGTATGTATTGTTGTGTTTTTCAAAATGAATTTAGACAATACCAGACCTGAGTGATGAAATTCAGGAAGACCAAAAGTCAAAGGACCATGGTCGCAGTAAAAGGGCCCAGTACCGTAGTGAGTGCAGTATCCACTCAAAAGCATTCACCGACACTTGCATAGSTTGCTCTTGTAGCCTTTCCTTTTTGTGTACATTGATGTAGCAATGTGGAAAGGTTGTTTTTTCTTAGACTGAATGCTCCAGCAAAAAYTATACTTTTTAAKTACATGAYCAAGACTTCTAGATCAGTGAMAGAGGAAAGGTTACAGGGTTCATATGTCAATAGCATACGTTCTTTCATGCCTTCCAATCATCACATTTCCTACCCTTCACACTATCCACAGGACAGGAATACATTTCATCGTTTTGACAAGTTTAACTCCAAATACAATCCTATAGGTAGGTATTCTCACACTATATCAAACTAAAGACTGGATGTCAATGTCGAACTGATTGTGATAGGTTCAAACTTAAGATACCATTTCCTTCCAAGGTACCATGTTCCAACAGATACTGGAAGTGTTAGTAGTTCCTGTGCATACTTACTAGTGAAATAATTAATAGCAATATTTTGTGGCATTCTCAAACCATCAGTTTTTAGTACACTTTAGCACAATACATTCAATCCTAGTTAACCTCCGTATGATGTAATTGTTCTATATTCTATTAATGTTGCCTTTTTAACTTTAAGGTGAAAGCAAACTTAGGGAGATTTTTCTCAAGACATCAAATCATATTGATGGCCGATACTTTGCACAGCTTATGAAAGAAGTTTTCAGTGATCTGGAGGAAAGCAAATACCAGAATGCWGAACCACGTATATCCATCTATGGTCGYTCCAGGGATGAGTGGGAATCATTGGCCAAGTGGGCTACTGGACATAGTGTCTTYTCAGAAAATGTTCGTTGGCTWATTCAAGTTCCAAGACTTTAGTAAGTCAAGCAAATCTACTTTTTCACATTTGGACTTTTTTTTGGCTAATTCTTGTCTGTTAGTCTTTATGTGGCATTCATTATGTTAAAGAGTAGTATTGTTTTGGTATTAATGTGAATATTTTCACAGTGATGTTTATAGGAACAAGAAGATGGTCAAGAACTTTGAAGAAGTTCTAGAAAACCTTTTCATGCCACTGTTTGAGGCCACAATCAATCCACAAAGTCATCCTGAACTTCACAAATTCCTTACACAGGTAAGTGCTATTGTATGCTCATTCTTAGAAATGTGTACTATGTTTTTTGTTCAAAATGATGCTTGTTGGCAGTTAAGGCTGACTGAATGCCTTTCTTTCTGTGTTATCTTTAGGTGATTGGATTTGACAGTGTAGATGATGAAAGTAAGGCTGAAAGCCATCTCTTCCAACAAAGTAGTCCCCTGCCTGCACAGTGGACATCAGATGAGAATCCACCATACTCTTATTACTTATATTACATGTATTCTAACATGGTGGTACTCAACCATTTGAGAAGGTATACAAAGTTATTTTTTATATTAAATTACAACTCATCCCAATTTTGTGGAAAAATAGAAGATGAAGTTGTTTATGTTTCTTTTTATTATMATCAAAAGGGAACGTGGATTTAACACCTTCAAACTTCGTCCTCATTGTGGAGAAGCTGGTCCYGCACATCACTTAGTGACAGCATTTATGCTKGCAGAGAACATCTCTCATGGATTGCTTTTACGAAAGGTATATTGATTCATGAAGTGACTAGCATTGTTATATACATTTGTTTACATAATTTTAGATTTTGCTTCAACAACATGCAACCACTGTACATCCTCAGTCCTTGCTACTTCAAGACATATTTTTATAGCACTTGATGTTTGCTTTTAGGTTCCAGCTCTCCAGTATCTGTATTACTTAGCTCAGATTGGCATTGCCATGTCTCCACTCAGCAACAACTCRCTGTTCCTCAACTATCAGAGAAATCCTCTGCCAGAATTCCATGCAAGGGGGCTTCAAGTGTCATTATCAACTGATGATCCATTAATGTTTCATTTTACTAAGGTTTGTGCTGCTCAAGTAATGTTGCTAAAGTCAATATCAATGATAATGATCTGTAGATTACCGCTGAAAGTACTAGTAGTACCAGAAGCAATGCAGCAACAGCTACTAATTGAAGGATTGCAATATTGTTTTATTAGGAACCATTAATGGAAGAGTACAGCATTGCTGCTCAAGTGTGGAAGTTAAGTCCTTGCGACATGGCAGAGCTTGCRCGAAATAGTGTAGCAATGAGTGGYTTTCAAGATGAGGTGATTTTGATTTGAAATTTGCATTAATTGTCCTCCATGCACCATTAATTCATGTGAATATTAAAAAAAACAATGTTTTGAGCTATTGGTGTCATTTTCTATTAGTCCTCAATACCAACCATGTTTAATATGTAAGTGACTGACAAGAGTTGGTTTTTCAGATCAAAGAGCACTGGATTGGAAATTGCAACAAAGGAGAAAATGACATTGCTAAGACTAATGTTCCAGATATCAGAGTGGCATTCCGTAAAGAGACTTTAATGGATGAACTCAACACTATCTATGAAGCGGCTAGGGACTAGACTATACACATCATAATCATGCAAAAATTGATGTGAAGAGCATTGATGAGACTAAATTWTATTAATAGATAATTGATATCCTTACAGTCATCAAATTTTGATAGATTACCATGAAGCAATTATTTCATTTTCATTTTCATAGCCTAGACTTTATGCATTCACTACAAACATTTTACAAAGGTCATATCTATAAATTTTACAAAATGAAAACTAAATGTTATATAATAGTATATGAGTTTTATGGTCAATCAAGTTATGAAAATCACTACTTACAACAATTGCATTATTATTCTAAATTTTACAATTATTTATACATTCTTTTCAATTTTAATATTTTTTTTCAATACAAATATTTACCAAGAAAATGGGGAAGACTAAAAGTGATTCAGTACTGTTACTGTCAGTGGCTATTCAAGGAAAATTACTTYAATTTCCTTCTGTTTCAGTTATTAATTATATTTACATGTAGAACAAAATGGTATTTTTGTACACTTTTTCAATTTATGTATTGTTATATTGCATAATTCAAATAATCTTAAAGTTGATACTGACAGTGAGCCTTCTCCGTGGGTGTCTCTTTTTTGCTTTCCTTTGGGATACCTCTTTTCTGATAAGACTGTAGAAAGTGTCATAGAGAGTTCAGGAAAAAAAGAAATAGGAAATACACCTTCATTTTGCCAAGATGGTACCAGAGGGATCCCAAAAGACAAAATGAATGGTTGCCTGCGGAGGAGGTTGACTAATGGCTTTATTGCCATAACAATCCTATTTTATAGAAACTATCAGTAGTAGTCATATCAGACTGCGTTAGGTTCTTGGRCCTGTACGTGGATATCATTTTGCAGGTATGCATCTTATTCTGAACGAATATTAAAATCTATATTTGCACATTGTAAMAATTTTTGCTTTTCAAAAATTAATTACAATGGTACACATTCGAAACATTTTCCTAAAGTAATATGAATTGTTTTTTTTCCAGTAAGGTATTATTTGTATAATTTGTGAGTAATAGATTGATTATTAAATATAAGCTTAACATCGAAAATCTCTCAAATAAATTTTGAATTTTAACCAAAAAAGTGGAATTGAACTTTTAGCTTGGTGAGAAGGGGAGGGGGACACAAAACGGAAATTATAATTCCGTGTATATTCAAATTTCTAATGTGTGGAAATACTTCGAGAATTTGAAAGTTAATGTTGTCAACCTTCGGAGATCCTTTTAAATCTTTTATTATTTCCAAGACGTATTATATTTGCCCGGCTAGCTCAGTCGGTAGAGCATGAGACTCTTAATCTCAGGGTCGTGGGTTCGAGCCCCACGTTGGGCGCTGTTTTTTTCTTCTGACTTTCTTTTTTTTATTCTTTGCTATAAAAAAAACAAAACGTTTTTATGCTAAATTCGATCTTTTTTCAAAATATCTTAAGGAAAAAAAAAAAGAATAATGATAATAGGGGCGGGCTACCTGTTTCAACCATACTGCATTTCACACTTTTGGAAGTAAACATGGACGACCTTCCAGACGAGATTGTCTCAAATATTCTTGAATATCTCGATCCTGTTACTAAGTTAAGGATATCGCTTATAAATAGAAGGTTTTATGAGATCGCTAGAGACCCTCTGATACATAGGTAATACGTGGTTTTGTAGATGGCCAACGTGTTGTACATCATAATTAAGTTATATTCCTTCGCTATATAACTTATATTAAGCTTAATGTTGTTGATTGTAACTATTTCATATTATATTCTTACCTCAGGTATGCTACTTTTAAGACTTGGGAATTTCTTCCAGAGAAGGTTATAGCTACTTACCTTAAACTGTACGGTTCCTCAATTAGGTCGTTAGATCTACAAGATTGCTACTGGTTAGGTCTCTCTTTCATGCCTGTCATCCTGCAGTCCTGCTCAAATTTGACTAATCTTAATCTAATAGGCTCTGTAGAGGTCCCTATCAATGCCGTTGCAACGATATTCAAACACAATAGAAACCTAAAGCATTTTGGATGGACAATTGGACTAGATATATTGGCAAAAATGAAAAATATTAATTCTGGGCCTGGTAGGCAAGCTCTTGAGCAAGTRAATGGCATTGCAGTTTTATTTGAAAGATTGATATCACTCAAGCTGGGATTGATGGTGTACTCAGCAATTTCGTACAGAGATGGATTTGAACCAGAGGCRACAATGTTCACACATATTCTGTCAAGAATAATTTCACCTAAACTGCAAGCACTTACTTTGACTTGTCTTGATAGAGGATATTTTATGCAGCATCCAAAACAATCTAGAGTGCTCATTGATCTGAATGTAAGGCTTGGAAAGTTGGACAGTAGCACYGGTTCTGTCATGGATTTGAAAAATCATTTTGCAAAGACAAGGCAGGAGTTGGCTATTGCTGCTATCACTAAACATGATGGGATAATAAAAGGATGGCTAAAAYATATCATTAGCAATAAAACATATACTATCAAATCCCTTGAAACTCCTGGAAATCCATTTCTAAATTATTGGATTCCATTRCTTGGAAATGGTCTATCATATTGTGAGATCGAGGACATCAAGACCCTGGACATCAACTCATCACATGACGTTCCRATATATTGGATGATATCTGTTCTAAGAGCAAATTCACTAACATTCTTAAACGTATCCAATATGGAATGTGTCACAGGGTACCTTCTTGAGATTCTATCAGAATCATCTCCTTGTTTAGAAAGCTTAAATGTCCAGGGATGTCATGACAGTTTGGATCCAGTATGTTACTTTAATATTTCAAAACTATRTTATATTYACTGAATTTTTAATTTTGAATATTWACATTATTTGTTTGTCTCATAGATTGGGGGTCTAAGGTTGATAGCTAAACGCTGTCTGCATCTTCATCACCTCAATCTTGGTCGTATCCATCATCACTCATCAGGACCAAGTAATGACTTACTTGAAATTCTATCAAGCATAAMATACCTAAAAACTGTCAGTCTGTCGGGATGCAGCATCATTCCATGTACCCTGGAACAAGATGAAGAAACATTGTCAGACACTGAGACTATTAAGTATGATGGCRAGGATGATGATGATGACAATGATGAYRAYACAGTTGATGATTACTAYGCAGATAATGACAATAGAAAGACTGATGATGATAGTGATGACATCCATGATGACAATTGGCAATGTAACCTTCAAAAACATCACTGCTTGCAAACCGTTATGGAATCATGCACATTTCTGAGACAGATAGAAATAATAAGTGTTGGATTTCATTCTGTTCTCAGGAAAGGCTGGCTGATAAGTAGACCACCACCAGAGAGGTGTGTAATGGGATTCATCTAAAAAAGATACATTGAAAATAATCATTATTTCTCCATTATTTTTCCATGGTTCTTWRATGACAAATCCTGTAYATGCCCCTGTTTGGTTCTGGATTTGTTTTTTACCTTTGTATAGATGTCCAAGTTTGGTCTTTCATTTAATTTGAAGTGAAGAATAGTGATTTTCATCAAATAYAGCAGTACATGTAAAATGTAAATAGATATTACAGGTAAATATATTTAGAACCTTTGTAATGATTTACCAGATCACACCTTATTTGGGATTGYCCAGATAATGAAGGTCACTACTTAAAGGCTTTGGCTTTTTGTCCATGTTTAGAAAAGCTCACCATAGCTGGTATGTATTTATTTCTTGATATCAAATACACCTACCACAAAAATCTTAGTTTAAATTTTTATTTAACATCTCTACAATATGTCGGTAACCATTTGCTGAAAATGGCTGCTGCCTTATTAGCATTTTTTTGAGTTATGAACAAACCATCTATTTGTCTATTCGTCTTCTGAACAGGCTTAGATGTYAGAGGTGGCCTTGAATTTCTTTGCCAGATAACATCATCATGTAGAAAGCTGTACTTTTTGTCRCTTGCACAACTAAGAGGCTTAGAGATGGCTGATGCCCTGCCAAATTTAAACAARGCACTGTCTAACTGCAGCAATCTAAAGCACCTCAGGTTTAGTATTTTACGATTTCAGTAGAAAAGACCAATTATTATAATGTYAAGGTCACAGAAATAAAGTTTCTGTAATATCAAGTGTCCTTGACATTGAGGTTCATTGTACAAAAGCATTTAGATGACTATAAAATGCCTAAGACATAAAATTTAAACTTAYAAATGTAACACTGGTCTTATCACAGGAATATATCAACTATATCAAGGAAAATCATTGATTTCTGTTAGKTTCAAAAGAGTTTTGAACAGGTTTGCTAATACAGTGCATATTAATTTTTTGGTTAGATTTGAACAGTCATATTTTGCTGTTCCTCAGTCTTTTACCAAGGCACTCTTTGATGTGAAAAATCTTGAATCACTTTGTATCATCACCAAGGGTGGAAGTATAGCAATTTCAACAATTCTGCCATTGTTTGAAAAGGTACTTGATAGATGTCAGCTTACAAGTTATTGAATTGCTGAACTAAAAATTCAGTGATTTGCAAGATTTGATTAGTATTCAAATGAGTGGATTTGGTGGCTCAAATATGGATTTTACTTTCAACTGTAATGATACCATCTAAAACTGTCTTCTATTATTTCAGTGTCGAAAGTTGAGAGTTCTACAAATTTGTTCTGATATTTCATCATCTGAAGAAACCTTTCGCAATCTCACAAACATTCTTTACAAGAGGTAGACAATATTAACATAATGAAACTTTATCTGTCATATTATTTATTAAAGTATACAATAATGGTGTACAAAAGGTTTAAAAAGTGTGGAACTAATGTACATTTTCAGATATTCAAGTGAAAGACCTGGTTTAGCAGTATGTTTGTTTCCATATGACAGCAACACAAGAGACCTACACGACAAACTTTTCAATCATGCATGTGAAAATGGCTTTCCATTGGTGCACTTGAAAAACTTGTCACTTTTCAGCTCTGAAGTTGCCACAAGGGCATGTTAGTTTTATTACAATTTAACAGAGTATAATTAGACTATTATCTTTCATTGATGCAAAGTGCAAAGGTCCTCTTTATAAAMACATGAATGAATAATATATGTTCAGCATGTAAACTTTTAGCTTTAATTACATCATATAAAATGTAATAGTGATTTGAAAAACTATATTTAAAATTAATGTATATGCAAAAATGTATATTTTCCACACACAAAACAATTATTTAGCAAGTTGGATGCTATTATGTGATGAAATATTGTGCAGTTCTCAATCTTTTAGATCTTAGGAATATAAATGATATTTTCAACACTGGTGCAGTCCTCTACGACAAGACATCAGTTATAACTGTTAGTCTAGTTTTGGTTGTGTTCAAAGAACATGAAGTCCTGATGAGAAAGAACAAAACATTTGTGAGTTGTTGAACTTTGTAAAATTTTAAAACACATACTATTGTATGCATAAATTGAAATTTATAAAACAAAAAAGATGAAAGAGTGATAGACTTACAACTAGGAAACATGCTCCTAACAATGTGGCTTTGACTTTGACATCCAAATCCATTGGAACTATATACAATGACACAAAGAGAAAGATGTCACATTAAGTTATGGAGGAAACAGAAGTTTGATAAGACGCAATCAAGTCAAAAATAATAATTCATGGAATGGTTGTTTAGTTTCCTTACATGAAATGCCAAAATTATCTGTATCAGTGAACATTTCTTTGACAAGTCCAGTCCATTGCTTGGTAATTTGCCCAACTTTAACAGACCTATCAGCAGACTTGACCTGGAACAAGCAACAAATTATTTACTCTAGTTAAAATGAATAAAATGATTCAGTTTTGATGGTAAAACACATTTAGCACTTGTTGTAAGAGAGAAATATTATCACCATAAAGAAGAGAAACAATCTTACCTCAAACAAGACATCACCAAAGCAAGCACAGGGACAGCATGGCCCTTCAATTGTCAACACTGTTTCACCGCTTGCATCTTTGATGGAAAAWTGAGGCTTCCACAAAGTCCATCTTTTAGAAGTAAAAATATACCATTAATTGTGAAAAGGTGCAACAAAAACATTAAGTAGCATGCCATTTAAGCATAGCATCTACTAATGCCAATAAGAAATAATATTCCAGTTGGCATTATGTCCATTTATCTCGAAATTCTATGGACAAAATGATATCAGAATTTGACGATTGTCAGAGAATCACAGAAACTCACTCTTGTTCTACGGTTCCAATGACTGTCCCTACTGGTGACTGTACCTCCAGCATCTGCAAACAACATGGAAAGCAGCAGGACTGACATCTCAATGGTCTTGACAAATGGATGATTTCCCTTGAATAGTTATCAACTATTGACATATCAAATGGCCTGCCTGGGCCACAGCACTGTCTTGTGCAGCAGTCAGTTTCTGTATAAAACATAATCATTTACAGATATAGAAAGAAGTCATGTACATTAAATTAGCCTTGCTAATGCAAACTGTGCTTTAGATTTCMATGATGTGTTCACCTTCAGTAGCAAAATACACTTGCTGATTTAGAGAGTTGCAGATTCGATATTTATTTTTAAATTCACATCCTGTGAAAACTAAAACAAAACAATGCAAAAATTAGTAGTGAATAATAGTCAATATATTTGTGTAGGTAGTGAACTGCTGTCAAGGACCCATTCCTACAGTAAGGATAATAGTGTTGTTATCATTACTTTCTGCAAGTTCTACTTGTTGTTGAACCAGTAACTGATCAATCATTGTCAAGTACTCCAAACCAGGAGGACAACCAACAGGGGCAGTTGGTGCAGGCATCCATGTCTGTTGACCTATAAATAATAAGTAAGTTCTTATATAGAAAAGACACTTTGAGTTTTGACATTCTGAAAAAAAATGACGATCGTTGATGTTCCTTGATGTTCATTTAAGCTTAAGCTTAAAGTTTTGATTCCTGTAGGTATTTTTTTTCAGTTCGTAAAGCATCGTGCTTTTGTCTAATAACCTAGTCTTACAATTACWAGTAGATCACACTAAAATCAAAATATTCAAATTAATCCTATTGAAATGAGCAAAACCAAAGATCTTTAACTTAACTAATTCACGCATGGTTGATCAAAAAAAGTTCTCGCCAGCTGAATTGACATATACTCTTGTTTGTAAACACCAACACTTTTTTAAGAGACACTTGGTGAACAAACAAACCTGGAAATAGTTCTTGAAATTCTGACAATATCGAATTCTCACCTGGTTGCTGAGTAACTGCTTGACTGCCATAAGGTGCTCCTCCAGTCGCCATGTTTGTTTTGCCTCGTCATCAATATCCGACCAACAGGCAGCGGGCCGAGGCTCATGAATATTCCTGACAGAAACTTTACTTAAAAAAAGATTACGTAATTGGTGTCAGATTATAAATTTAAAATTTATTTCTAAGTTAGTTTTTTTCTATTCATAAATTATCGATTTTGTTTCAAGAAGACTACTATTAGAGGATGGGCAGTCTGTGTGACCGTAGGATATAGCACAGGGTACCCAAAATGACAATAGAAGGACATATCACAAAGAAGAATGAAACATAAAGAAAACTGAATAATATAAAAAAAGAATGTGAAAAGGAAGTTTTTGACTCAATTCACGAAGTCATTATYAGCTTCGAATCAATGTCTTTTAATTCTATTCTTTCGCCTAAAGTACTCGATATAGTTAATTTCACTGGTCGCCATTCGCTTGCATTCGTCTCTGAGTTTATAGTCTAATAGGTCTGGTTTTATTTTGAAGCCTTTAAYCCTTTTGGATTGATTCTCGTAAACTCTTCCTTCGTGTTCTCCCGGAACAAGACATGCATTATTAATGGCTTTATTGTACTCCCTCAGTTGCCTTACTTCTTTCCAGAATGTAGMATCCTGTTGTTGAATCTTACTCCAAAATGTTTCATTGAAATAGTTGTACAGCTTAAAGTCGGCTTTATTCCATTCACGCAAATTTAACTCAGCTTTTTTTGACAATTTTGAAAATTTGATTTTGTCGACTAAACGGCGTTGGTTTTGTTTGAAATACAAAACATCTTTGATCGTCCAGCACAGTTCTCTGGCTAGCAATATCATTGATTCGTCAAAATRTTCCATAATCAGAACTAMATTGAWTTTTTTTTCTAATCTATAAATCGCTTTTTGGATGTGACTAAAATCATCTTCATCAAGACCAAGATCGAAAAACTGACCACTTTTGAGTAAATTGATATAGGGGTGTTGCGTTGCAATATCTGGATATGAAGAAGTTAGATTTGCCAAGTGCATCCATGGGTTTTCCAAAAATGCGTTAATAGGACTTTGGTGATAGGTCAACCCTAAAACACTTGAGAAACTCATGTATGAAAACAAGGACTCGAATTGAGTAACAGGATTTCTCAAAATAGTTATAAACTTGGTGTCACGTGGCATRTACGTAGACATGACGTCACTGTATCGCGCGTGATTAGTCAGCATGTTGACAGTTCTTTTATCCACAAAATTCCCTTCAAATGGTAATGGCCAGAAAAAGTTGAACATTCCATCGCGAGGCAAAGCCATTGCAAGCTCATTAGTGTCACAATATCTGTTCAAAATGTTGGTGACGGTACTGCTTCCTGTTTTGTGAGTTTTCAAAAATGCGACGTTCTTCTTAGGTTGACATGTTTGCTTATCTCCTCTCACAGAGCTCATTGTGTCTTGATTGTTGAAAATTTGCTTTGTCACTGACAAATATATAATCACAGAAAACAAGGATGCGGTTAAAAGTCTGCTGTGAAATCTTGTCCACCAGTATAGAGCAACCATTGTTTATGATGACGTAATGACCATTGAACAGGTTATTGTGGCACCTGTCGAAACCAGTCTCATGCCTGGATTGAACTTTAGAATAAGTCCTGGGCCACCTTTAGGTGGAGGGGGGGTAGGCCACCTTTAGGGGGGGTTGATTTTGTTATACTACCACTGTATATTACATAGTACACAGTTTTTTATCAATGTATAGTTAAATAGCTTTGCATAGTGTGGACCTAAAACGAAATGCGAGTGCGTTTGAACATTCGAAAGATTCTTGTCACACTATCGTAAATTATTTTAATGTAGCGTACGTAGCTAGGCGTTCCTAGGAGGGAGTTAAAGATAGTAGTTCCATGGGTTACCTGTTTTCACTGCGTGCATGAACCCGGAACATTATTTTAAAAGATCGATTTTATTAAATAAAACCAATGGCAAAAGGTCAATATATCCATGCGTTGTCTGTTTTCTGTCACGCAAGACGACGGGCGCTCAAAGTCTACCTTCAAGATTAAGAAGCTGAAGCAAACGGAACAGAAGAAACTCAAGATGTTTGAGGAAATTGTAGGTCTTGTACTTTTCTTAATTGAAAATTGCACTGGGGTTGCAATTGTAGAAAATTTCAGAAACCAACAACAACCTGATGACGAAGAAACTCATTTGATTCAAGCCGTCGAGGAAAATCTCCAAGACTTCACTAGATTTGATGCAAATGATACCATCTTTCGCGAGTATGACCCACCAGGTAACGAAGAAGAAGATCCAAAAGCTTGGAGGAAGAGCCGTCCACGACTTACCATTACTATCTGGACGTGTTTCAAGTATGTATTCATGATACAAACTGTTTCTGGCACAGCGCTCGGTGTGCTTGCGRTTTTCCTTGCCTTTCTTGATTTTAATTCTAGCGAGCTATGCTACTACATGAATGATGACTGGAACAAAATGCCTCACCTTGTCAGGGCTGTGAGAACAACTGGCCAGGCAGTTGAAGGCTTTTTGATAGAAATATGGGATTACATGCTTCTCTCGACCGTCTTTCCTTGGCCTTTAATGAAGGAATTGAATTTATTGACCCTTAACCTCTTAGCTGCTTTTGTCGACATGTCTTATCGATTGTACTTTGACTTGTATGGTATTTATAAAGTATGGTGGATGTCCTTCCCTCTCAATGCTTTGTTTACATCAATGACAATYGTAAACAGCATCATTCTAGCTCGTTATTTTAGACCTGCACCTCTTCCATGGAGAAAAGTTCTCAAGCTAGCTTTCAGCTTTTCAGCGCAGTTTATTCTTGGTATGTCTGCTAATATATTCCTGGTTTACAAGCTTTTGCCCTGGTACAACACACAGGATGAAAACACTAAGGTTGTAGTGGCAGCATTTTGCCCTCTTCTAACAGCCTTCCCAAAAGTTGTCTCCCGCCTTGCTGCTCAAAAGATCACTGACATTCATCCAGGGACAGCTCATGTGTTTGTTGGTGTATTATATGGATCAACTGCAATTGTCTTTCGAATTATGCAAGCTGAACTAACTAGTTTTGAGTTATTTGTTGCTCTTGGAATAGGTCATGCATTTGTGGACTTGCTTGAAAGACTTACAATTACTATGAGGGACCATATCTGGGAATACCTRTACAAGATMATTCTCTGTCGCAGAAGGACACCTTCACCCAAGTACCGCAATCCTAGAAGTAGGCGATTTATGGCTGATGTTAGCATTCAGATCATGCTCCAAGAATCCACAGGATTAGTTGCAGCACTGGGATTCATACAACTTTATCATTTCACATACAGTGACATTAAACGCCCTTACACTGACTATCCTGTTATTGTGGAYTTTCTCATCCGTGCAGTAACTGGTTTGCTCATTGATCTTGTGTTCAACACCATCTCAGTGGTCATTCAAACATACTACATGAACTTTGCTGTGATGAGGGTATGGAAGAAGAAAYGGCGTTATCATTTGGTTGTCAATATCATAATTTCATCATTGACAGTGATATATTTTACCGAGTACTTATTTGGTGTTATCAGGAGCAGGTACAACYATCATACTCACACAGTTGTTCGATATGCTTGGAATTGTACATTACCTTTTACATGAACAACGGCTTCTCACCATGGACACTGCCTTCTAMACCTGTCATCATCATGAACATCATCCTATTCCAGAATATTTATAYCAGTGATACATATTCCACTTCTTCGGTGCCTTGGTGGTGCCTACGCTTTCCTACATGTATATGAGAGGTTTCAGCTGAAAAGGGGTCTTATTCATAAATATTTTGCTTTGGACTACATATAAAACTGTTGTGTCATCAAAGGGGTCTTAATCTTTAAGACCCTTTTTAAGTTGCAACCCCTCATATATATATAGATGACAGGTTCATTCTCAGCATTTTTCTCTTGTCCYTAAATATGCCACAATAGTTATAGATTATAGTTTATAAATTATATTTATGCTATGGATTTTAAATGCTGTCAAATTGGAGAGACAAATGAATTATCTTCATTATTAATATGGACAAAGCATTCATGGAAATTGTTATTCTATTTCAGAGCTATAAACAATAAAACCATGAATTACAAACAAATGCTGAATTTGCTTTTATTAATAGCAGACATTTTTATAGTCAAATAATGCCTCGAAAATTAATTGGAATGTGTTCAGATTCAGAAAAAGGCCAGCATGGAGACCTACTTCTATTCTCTCTATTTACTCTCGAATGTTAGAACATGAAGTTTTCAAAAATAACAAAAGTATTATTGATTTGTTTACACTACGTCAATCTGTCTAAAACGTCAAATCAAAATGTCCCGACTTAAATGAAAATCATACGGCGAGGGCGGAGGTGAAAATATGAGCAAAAGTAAATCAAACAATTGCTAACATTCGCGCGGGCTACCTGTGTCTTTTGTGGGATTCCTTATTTTCAAGGATGGGAGGGGAATAGGACAAAATTATAATGGCCGACATGTTGAAAAGCGATTTCTCTGCAAATTCTGTAAGTTTTAGCCATTTTAAAGCACTAAAAGGTGGAAAAAACTTGAAAAAAACTTTCTATCATACTTCCTTATTAAGGTAAGATTACCATATATAGTCAGCAAAAGTTTGGCAAACGAATGAATGTTTCTCTGAGGCAATTGTTTGATAAAATGCTAGACCGCCACAAGCTGTATTTAGCACTATCACTATAGCAGCAATATCACTCCAATAGCAGCCTATTGGGTTCTGATGTCATCAAAATAGCTGGATTAGAGTTCATTTGTGTTATTTAGGCGTTGGATTCAGGTTTGGCAATCACCTTTTGGAATTGGTTGGTTCAACTYCTTTACCCGTTTGTGGAATGACAACAACCACACAAAAGATAAATGAGATTGTCAAGAATCAATCTTTATTTGATGCAGGATTGATGATGGACCACTAAATGACACATGCTTTTAAGGATAGAAGTATGAAATAAAGTTAGCTTTTACAGAGTTTTAACATATTTTTGTGATGATCTACAATATAGTTATATAAAAACTGAAGAAACGGTGCAATAACCACGTAGGTCTACTAACCAAAGGTGAGGTCTTCAGTATGCGAAAGGTAAAGTACAGTTCCTGGCTTTCAGTACGCCTGCATTATACATGTTTCTATTTCGCACCACATTATACAAGTACTCAGAGAAATAGATGAT